TCTCTCTCTCTCTCTCTCTCTCTCTCTCTCTCTCTCTCTCTCTCTCTTTGTTGTTGTTGTTCCTTCCTGGAGTTTCAGCCTGAATTTGTCATCTTTATTCTTCTGATACATGCAGTTACTGTATCTTCATTATAAGCTTCTAGAGCTGAGCAATTGTATGTTTTTATACACATGTTCCTTCAGTCCTAAGTACAGGGTCAGTATCAGACAATCTTACAGTCTCATTTTAGGGAGTTGTTGCTTTTTTTTGAACTCTTTCTTTAGAGTTCCCGGGTCAGGAGACCGGCCTACTGTCAGTTACAAAGGAGCAGCAATAAAGTGAGGTGTAAATAATGCTTAGGTCAGTGTTCTGCGTGCCCTGACAAGTCCTCAAGCCTTAGTGACTAGCAGCCCTTTCTTGTCGGAAGGACAGATCTGTTCTTAGTCAAGCCTGGCTCTCTGGCGTGGCTGACTCCAAATCTCCGTCAGTTGTGTGAACTTGAACGTCAGACTTCCTAGAAGATACGAGGGACAGCAGGAAGTTGTATTGTTATCTAGAAATGAACTGACACGGATGTGTGTGTTAACTTTTGTTTCTGAAGGAAGTTGAAATTCGGAATAAAGACCTGGAGGGGCAGCTGTCTGACCTGGAGCAGCGCCTGGAGAAGAGCCAGAGTGAGCAGGAAGCTTTCCGCAGTAACCTGAAGACACTCTTGGAAATCTTGGATGGGAAGATATTTGAACTAACAGAATTACGAGATAATCTGGCCAAACTACTGGAATGCAGCTAAGGAGAGTAAATTTCAGTGCCAATTGATGAAAAGATACTGTCTGTCTTCGTAGGACTGTTTGGGCTTTGCACCAAGATTGCACAAATTTTTTTGAATATCATCCCTCCAGGAGGAGGTGTTTTGAAAATTGGAATTGTATATTCAGTATAAATTTTAGAATTTAGCTTGTAGCTAGTTGGGGAAAAAAAGACATGAAAAACTTGAACTACAAATTACCTCCATGTATATTGGCCATAGTTAACTGGAAAGTTCTAAGTAGACACTTAATGCAATCTTTCCCCCCTGATATTAGCTAATGGGAGAATTAACAATGTCTGGGTTCTTTCTTTTTTTTGTTCAACACAGTGAAGATTATCTGCTTTTTAAATTAATTTATTTATGATATCTACAGCTGTGTTTTGTGCAAAAATTTAGTAATGAAAGCCCTGTTTTTTGTTTTTATCTGAATAATTTCTCAGGATATTTTTGCACTGCTGAGAAGCAGGGCCATTACCAATTAATTCTTGCCAGGTGTGGGAGAGAGGTACATCTTCAATTGAAAATCACCAGAAATGGGTGTCTGGAGTTCTTCCTTTTTTACTGTGAGTGTTTTCACTCTCGTGACTACTCTGGTACACTCTACTGTTCTCCAATCTTGTCTGCTGGATAGTTTACTTTTCCATATTGATTCATGTATTTATGAGAAGATACTGTCTCCCATTTTATTACACATTTTAAAGCCAATTTAACAAAGGCAGCTGAGTCCCTCGGATTTTTTTTTTTTAAATTTATAGTAAATTTGACACACAGAACTGAAATACAGCAGTCCGTCCTTGGCGGTTTAGGCTAGCAATGTTAAGTATCTTTACAGAAAATATGCAGTTACACTTATTTATATATTTGGCAAGAAATCTTTTCTGAGTGATCAATGAATTTCAATTTATGAGAAATAATGGCTATGGGGGCACTGTTTATTATAGATAACTTTAAGGTGAATAGCTGATTTCAAGGAGGTCCACTTCCACCTAGCAGCCAATCAGAGGACTGTATCTAAATTGTGACCGTGGCAGATGGGTCTTCACCGAAACCATGTCTTTATTCAAACTTCACAAGGCAATATTTTGAACTGTTAACTAGGCATTTCAAAACATGAAATACCTTCAACAGTCTCTTCTTGGAGAGTTAGTTTTAGTGTTGTTTTGATGTAATTTTAAGACATTTAGCAAACATGCATTTCTTTATATGATACATTTCTTTTACAGAGCTATTTTAATAGCAAACCAAGTGCTGTCTGCTCTGCCCGAGTAGGGATTGCATCAGAATACATATATTCTTGCTGTACAATGCCTGTGATTTTGAAGAGAGTTCTTTTCAGTGGATGCTTGAGTACCTGACTCCGGAGTCAATGAATGCACTGGGTTTTTGTTTGTACCCCCAAATGATTGAATTGTTAAATACAAATCAAGCAGATAAACCCATTTTTTTCACTCATGAACAGATTCTTAGTACTACTTTTGTTTTATATTTATGTGTATGTATGTAAATACATACATATATACCAATTTATATTAGAGTGAAAAATAAATGGTTTGTTTCTAAAGTTAGTTTCTACAGTGAGGTATCTCTGAAAAATCTGTATCAGACACACATATAATCATCACGTATTATATGTCCTATAGCTTCACGTCAGTCACCCCATCTATTTTAGGGTATTTTCCTTATCTGTTTATTATAGAGAGAATAATTTAGGTACACATGCTCAGAGCTGAGATATTTCTCTGATAAATCAGGTAATAAAATTTATTTGATGGACAGAATTTTGAAAACAGATACGATTTTATCTATGAGTTTCTGAATATCAAAGAATACCAGGTTTTAATTTAAGTAGAGGATTAACACTAGGGATCAGGGAATTTAGTTATGAAGAGTTTAAAAAAAATCTTAAAAAAAAAGAAAAAAAACAGTGTAAGCTGTTGATATGGTAAGGGAATTATTTTAATGATGTAATAAAATATTTTTAAATTTTGGCATAGTGATCATTTAATGGGAAAATAACTCACCAAAATGTCTCCACTTGAATTGTACTGATAATGTGAGGCATATGTGTAATTCAATATATACATATACCTATATGTATATACAGAAATTATTTTTAATATTTTCCTACTGCTGTGAAATTTAAAATTGGAAATTTTGTGAGTGTTTTCCATGTCCAATAGAGCCTAATTGTTTCTTTTTTTAGTAACTTAACACTTTCTTGAGGGCTGCACCTATAACTTCCCAGCTTGTCAGTAGACATGTACAGTACTTGGGATGAGGTGGACACAAGTGCACATATAAATAAGCCTTCTTATTGACTATTTTAAACATTCACTACACTAGAGGAGCATCTAGAACTCATCGCCTCTAAGTCATAGATTGTGTGCCTACTGTAGCTTTTTCCATTGCTGTATTATATAGACATTTGCATATTAAAATTTGATTTTTCCCAGAGATGAATATTATATAATGTATCTATATTTAGATCAGACTGTGGTAATATATTGATCAGAACTAATGTTGGGGACTATAGCCTGAACATGTGGACGTGCAGCGACACAGGAGGAGAGCAGAGGTCTATCCCATTTGTGTGTAAGTTATTATAACTATGAAATCTTGTACAAAAGCAAAAACTGGAAAAAAACAAAAATACAATTTTTATTTTGAAATACAGTTGTTCTCTGGAGAATGTACTTCCTCTTTTTTTCTCAGTCTTTTAAGGATATTTAAAGCATTTACGCAATGGCAGCATTTCCTTCAATCCTACAGGTGCTACTGGATTTTGCATTAGAATGTGATGTTTTAAAATCCTAACTTTGACATAAAAGGTTTTATAAGTATTTCCCTGCCTGGAAAATTAGTTTTTATTCTTCTCTCCTCATTCCCTCCTCTCGCTCTGCCTCTCTAGACTAAAAATGAACATTCATGATATTGCATTACTTCTTGTCCCTAAATGAAGTTTGCAGCACCATCCAAACTCTGATGCTCTGCTGTCTTAGAGAAGACCTTGTCCCTTATCTCTTCAGGTGGCCCTGAGATGGTGAGCTACCACATGACCTTTAAAAAGCCATGTCTTTGCTCTGCTCAAATTAAATGTATCCTTTAGCAGGTGTGTCTCTGCCGTCAATGTCTTTGTTGACCTCTGGAGTGTGGGCTTGGGTTGCTGCCTCTTGACCCCTACTGTCTCTGGGACGGAAGGCAGGACCTGGAGAAAGCCTGTGGGTTTGAGCCTTTCATTTATTTGATACCAAATAATTTTAGCATTTGAAATTTTGTGCTTAAAGATATAAAATAGACTTCTTTGAACCTTTTAGCATAATCTTTTAGCATTCATGAGGTAAATTACCATAATTTCTTTTTCTTTCATGGTGCTGGGGGTCAACCCCAGGACCTAGCACACGCTAGGCAAGTTCTGTGCCACTGAGCTACTTCCAGCCCTATATAAAATCACAAAGAAGGAAATCTCAGGTAAGAAGTAGTTGACTTTGACACGTGTTTTTTAAAAAATCTTTACTGTAGAATACCACACCATATGATTAGTAATAATAAGTATTGTTAAGAATTATATATATATTTTATTTTAGACTCACTCATTCCATTGTCATAAAGACAACAAAAACTGTTTTAAACTGGGAATCATCGTTCTTTTAATCCCAGCATTGAGAAGGCTGAGGCAGGAGGATTGAGAGCCGGAGATTATCCTGGGCTATATATATATAGTAAGACTTTGTCTCAAAAATAAAGAAAAATAAGTTTAAACCTAATAAGCAGAGGGAGTTCAAATCACTGACAGTTTCACTCAAGAAATTCCGAGTCAGCACCACACTGCCTGACAATCTGTTAGGCCAGTAGGTAAAGTGGGTGGCTTTAAAACAAACAAACAAAAAAAGTTATACATATGAGTGTTTTCGTGTATATATGTATCTACCAAGTGTATGTCGGGTGCTCTCAGAGATCCAAAGAGGGCATTAGATTTTCTGAAACTGGAGTTACAGAGCTGCCATGTGGGTGCTGGGAACTGAACACAGGGACTGTGCAAAAGCAACAAATGTTCTTAACCACTGAGTATCTCTGCAGCCCTAATTCTCTGAGAATTTCCTTCAGTGTGTTTTTTATCATATTCTTTTATGTTCCCCAACACCTCCCAGATCTTCCCTCTCCCTAGCTACCCTACTTCAAGTTCTTTGTTTTGAATGAGGGGAAAGGAGAGGGGAGACAGAAGAAGAGAAGGAGAAACCACTGAAAACATGGAATCTGATTCGTGTTGGCCAGTCAAGTTACTCCTGGGCATGGGGCCTGCTTTGCACTGGAGCTGATGCACTCTGTCACTCCAGTGGAGAATCGTCCCTCTCCCAGCAGCTGTCAGTTGCAAATAGCTTCTCTGTTAGTGGTGGGACTTTGTGTCCACTTCTCCTTCTCAGTATTTGGACTCTGTCTTGCTTGAGCTTGTGCAGGTCTTACTGTACTGTCACAGTCTTTGTGAGTTCATATGGTCATCACCCCTATTGTGTCTAGGATATGTCTTCCTTCTCCTTAAAATCATCCACCACCCTTGACTCTTAAAATCTTTCACATAGATCCTGAGTCTAGAGGGGGGAGGTGTGATAAAGACCCCTGATCAGGACTGAGATAGTATTAATGAAAGCAAGAACCTGGGACTGGCTAGGTCATGGGTCCTAGGGGAAAACCTACTCCTGTTATTCTGTTTAATGAATGTAGCAGTAAAGTGACTTCTGATGACATAGTACTGTACCCATAGATGAGTGCATTGCTGCTCACCTTCATTGGAGAAGCTTGTCCTTGCAGTAGGTAGTGATTAACGCATGCAGCATAAGAGATTCTGGAGAAGGTGCCTTTCAAGGTAGCCCCAGATGCTGTTTACAGATAGAATGCATGCTTAAGCACATGCTAAGACATGCATGAAATCCTTAGCAAAACAAGAAATGGAAAAATAAGAGAAATTTTTTTTCTTTAGGTCATTGTTACTAAACACATGTGAGTCATGAAGAAAATTGTACCTGGACTAGAATAAAAGACCAAAAACACCCAAAGACTTCCTGTGGATTTTCACTTCTGTTGGCCACTTGTACTTCAAGCCTTAGCATAGCTCTTCATGCTCCTATTCCCAGCTGTCCGGATGACTGAGGCTGGAGAATATTTTGATACAGGAGTTGAAAACCACTTAGGCCAATACAGATCTTGTCTCTATAAAAATAAAGGGGAATGGAGAATTGTCCTTATCGTGAATGCAGATCAAGCAAACAGGAGCATCAGAACCAGTGTTTATTTGATGCATATCAGGATGGCCAGACATAAAGTCCTCCCCCAACCTTAATCCCTGTTTTGAGGTTGCTTTTATTTATTTTTTGTCGGGTTTTTTTTGTTGTTATTGTTGTGTTTGGGTTTTGTTTTGTTTTGAGACAGGGTTTCTCTGTGTAGCCCTTACTAGTTTGGCACTCACTGTATGAACTCAACCCCAGAACTCAACAGAGCTCTGCCTGCCTCTGCCTCCCGAGTGCTGGGATTAAAGGTGTGTGCCATCACACTTAGCTGGCTGCTGCTGCTTTTAACCAAATCATGATTGCTCTGAAGAGTCCCTGAGAACATCCTGCCAGTCGCTAAGATTTATAACCTGCTCCAAGACATATGCTTCTGCACTCACTATTCTTTGGGATTCTGACCTACTTATGTCAGTACGCAGAAATAGAAATATTACTCTGCTTCTTCATAATAGCATTAAATGAAGATGCTTGGTGTCTTCATAAATGCACCTCCTAGACTGTTTCTGTAGTATGGCAAAGTCTTTAGGAGTTTTCTGTCAGCATGTTTTCTGTTGCTCATGTCTGTTATGCCTGTCTTGCTGAGTACACACTCAGTAAGTACCCTTTGTCTATGTGACTTGTAAATGAGACGTTTTGTTCTCCCTGGCTGTTTGTTGAGTGACATCTCAGAAATCATGGCTAGAAATGAGATATGCTTGACGTCAACACTTCTCAACAGCTTGCATTTGGAGAGGCGGGCAAGGAGCAAATTCAGATGATAGGCCCTGCTGTGTTCACAGCCACAGGTCGGTGTTTACACATCTCTCAGGAGGTAGAGTTCTTGATCATGTTTCTGCTGCAGGTTTTTCTTCTAATTCATCTGCCCTGCTTCTCTCAAATATTTTTTAGAACTCATTTTTTGTTTGCTTGTTTCTTTTTTGTTATTATTGTTGTTTTGAAAAAAGTCTTACGTAGCCTAGGATAGTCTGAAAGTTGATAGCTAAGGACAGTGTGCCAAGTTCTGTGGCTCCGGGTCTGCGCTGTCCTGTCAGTGTCTGTGTGGTCCTAGGGCTTCACCCATGCTAAAGGAGCATTCTGTCGGCTGAGCTGCACTTCTACCCTCTTAGGATGCTTCATGGCCTTTTCTGATGCTTGCAGCTCTTGTTGCCATTGTGAGTGACATCATGCTTTTGCAGGTGTCTTATTCATGGATCGTGTTTTAGTCTCAATTTAAAAAAAAAACTACAGATTTCCAATGATTTAATGAGTAATTGTTCATGTGTGGAATTTAAGTTCCTTTAATTTAAATAACATCTTAATTTGAAAGCACATACTAGTAGTCCCAGCACTTGAGAGGCTGAAGCAGGATTGCAAATTTTTGGCCAACCTAGGATACATAGCAAAATCTGTCATAAAACAAAATAGTAGAAGCTGGGCTTGATAGGCCGTGTCTTTAATCCCAGCACTCAGGATGCAAAAACAGGTGGATCTCTGTGAGTTGGAGGCTAACCTGTTCTACTAATAGAGAGACCCTGTCTCAAAAAATGAAACAAACAAGCAAACTGTAGGCACTTTGTTAAGAGCACTAGTTCTTGCAGAGGATCCAGGTTCAATTCCCAGCACCTGCATGGCTGCTCACTACCATGCATCACTTAGTTTCAGGAAATCCAGCATTCTCTTCTGATTGCCACAGATACCAGACATGGACATAGTGCACAGACACTGCAGACCCCAGACATGCAGACAGTGCACAGACACCAGACATGCACACAGTGCACAGACTATACATGCAAAACACTCATACACGTGAAATAAGTAAATCTTTAAGAAACAAAAGCAAGGCCAGCCTGGTCTTCAGAACTAGATTCAGGACAGCCAGGATTATATAGGGAATTCCTGTCTCAAAAACAAACAAACCCTACAGCAAACTGATAATCAAGGCCTTAGGAAGACAATTCCACTCCTGGAAACTCATTCCTAGCACTGAGGGAGATCACTGGGATATACTATGCTGTTCATTCTGGATGACTAGTCAGTGCTAACTCTGTAGAAGCTAAGGCTTCTCCCAGTTGATCTAACCTTTAAACCATGAATACAAGTTAAACCTTGAAGAAGGCTGAAAACACTTAACAAAGTCCCAGTCAGACCACAGTCATGATTATTAAGTAGAGTACCTGCATTGTGCTGGGTTTGGGGGCTATAAGGGCCTCCTGGGTCATGTGACTTTCTCTTATATCAAATTAGATTTAAATAGAAATAACATAAGCATAATATTCAACATTTGAGTCTCCCCTCTCCCTTAACTCCAAGACAAGTTTTCTCTGTCTCTGTGTAGCCCTAGCTGTCCTAGAACTCACTCTGTAGACCAGGCTGATCTCAAACTCAGAGATCTATCTACCTGCCACTGCCTCCCATGTGGTAGCATTAAAAATGTCAGTCACCACCGCCAGGCAGAGTGGATGAGACAAGACAGAACTCTGAGTTGATGTGTCATATCCTCTGCTATAGGCCTTCCAGCTCATTTATTTGTTTATTTACTTATTTATTTTTGAGGCAGAATTTCTTTATATAGCCCTGACCATCCTGGAACTCACTCTGTAGACCAAGTTGGCCTTGAACTCAACAGAGGTCCTCCTGCTTCTGCCTCCCCAATGCTGGGATTTAAGGCATGCACCACTAAACCCAGCTCATTTAAACCATTTCTGAGAGTGATTTTAGATACTTTGATGGTGTTATTATCGCCACTGTCCGTTTACCTTTCTGTCATCCCTGATGATGTACTTTATACCTCTATACGTTCTTGGATGCATGGAGTCATACAATGTTTGTCTTTTTGGGTCTGACTCATTTCACTTAGCACTTCATGTTGTGGCTTGTCTCGTCATTCTATTGCTTCTTGAGGCTGATGATTCTGTTGTGTGGACACTAGCTTTACTTCACCTATCCAGTCATTTGTGGGTGAATGTTTGGGTTGTTTCTGTCATTGTGAATATGCTGCTGTGAACGTTTGTGTATGTGAATTTGAGTCTATGTGTCACATTTTGGGGGACTATAAACCTAGGATATAAGTAGGAATTTCATGTGATAATTCTAGGTGTAACTTTTTGAGGAACAAGCAAAAGATTAGGTTTGAATTGGGTAAACGCAAAAAAGACTAGGATAAGGTGTGAGCGTGCGGGGAAATTCCAGTCTCCAGGCTGGTGTTTTGTAATAGGTTCATATGTGACCCACGTGCCTTGTTTTAAAGTATATGTGCATGTCATGTGGAAGTCAGGGAACAACTTTTATGAGTTGGTTCTCTCCTTTCATGTTGAGTTGTCGGGATTAAATGCAAGCTGTCAGACTTGCATTGCACGCACTTTTACCTCCGGAGCTGTCTCAGCAGCCAGTCCATATGCCTTTTACACATTCTTTCCTAAGACAGTTACTGAGCACCAGCTATGGCCCAGGCTCTGTACTGGGATAGAAACTACAGAAAGGGGGCCATCGTTGCATGCTAGGTCAAGTTATTTATACTATACATGCTGTGGCAAAAGACAACTCTGGCAGGGGACATCATCCCAGGGAAGGGAAGTGGGAAGGTCTTTTCCAAAGGAAGGGAACCCTCCCAAATTCTTGCTGGAATAACTAGAACTAGTCAGTTATAGGCATAAAAGAATTACTGAGAGTGTTTCATATGCAAAGACTCAGACAGAAAAGCTTTGGGGTCATTAAGATTAGAGTGGGTCAGTGCAGATGAAGCATAGAACATGGGAAAGGGCATGACAACGAGGGGGCAAAGGTACATTGGAACTTTGTGGTTCATTCACAAGGTTGATTGGGGCATTATTCATTCTGAGGGTAATGGAGAGTTGAGGGGATTTTGTTGCAAAGAAGTAATGCAATAAAGTATGTTTTATAAGACTAGGCAGTTAAATGAATGGCAATAATCACTGCTGAGAGACTGTTGACAGCTATGGTGCTGGGAATGGTAACTATGCAATGATGTGTTTGAATAGGATTTAGGAGGTAGGATTTCCTAACTCGGGTAGGTGACTTGGGAGAATGTGTCTTGAACTGCAGGCTGCGTTCAACATGAGGAAGAGCTGGAAAGCAGAGATCAGATGCGTGGATTAGACTCTGTTCCTCTTGTGTGAATAGATGGAGTAGGGGTGGGATTACTGGAGCAAATGAGTTTCCTTTTGAATGAATTTAGTGTGCATGGAAAAATACCCAAGTGAAACTTTTAAGTCTAGGTATGAAACTTGGAGGAGAAACAAGAGCTGAAAATAGCTACTTAGGAATCATCGCTGTGTGTGGTAGCAGTTGAGGGCCTGAAAACAGGGAGAATGTGAACTGAAAGAATCTAGGCTAGATGCATCTTGAAGAAGAATTACAAGGGGTGGGGTCAGCCAGAATAGTGGGCCTTCTGAGAGCCTAGCGTGGAGTTCTAGAAAGCCATAATTCACATGAAAATACAGCCACAAATCAACTCATGTCTCAGGGTGATGGCTTAAAATACATTCTGTTAAGATTCTTTATTTGATATTTTAGGCTTGAAGGAATAAAAAAAAACTCAACAAACTGAAATATGTACTTTAGCAAACTCAGATTCTCTATGTATAACCTTTAAAAACATGAAAGAAATCCGGGTTAACAGTTTTTTCCTGGAATAGCAAGGCAAGTTGGTAAAGGATTGCCGCTGGTCTCTGTAGGAATTGGGACTTCCTGAATGTGCCGGCTGAACTGAAGCCCAGAAATGGCATCTGCAGGTGATGTCTTCTAGAGACCCATTTTAACACTTAACAAAAGCGACTTTGTTTTCTATAGTGGTATGCTGATTAAATGCTCTGACCCACTGTCTGTGTATTATTGGACTTCGTGTTGTTCTAGGGAGTGGGGCACTGAGGCTCCAGCCACAAGAAGCTTAACTACTCTTTTCTGTAGCTCCCCAGCCTCATCAGGGTTAAGTTCCTGGGACCTGAGTCTGTAGTTCTATGTCTTTCGGTTTGTGAATTTGATACTGAATCAATGGCCAGGTATTTGTATATTTGCATTGCTTTAGAAAGTTTGTTTCTGTTATTCTAAGTACTCCTCTTTCTTATTAATTCATAAGCATAACTACTTAACAAATTATTCTCTTATAAAAGTAATCTCAAATGGTATCAAGAAAAACTATTCTTTGTACTTGGTTTTAGTCTCCTGTGGTATTTAAGTTTTATTTCTAGTTTGAGTTACATTTAAAATTAGTTGGAATTCCCTGAGTAGACATTATTTGTCACTTGGGCAATAGACTGAGCATGTTTGACATTGCAGGACGGAAAGAGGAGCCACCAGTGTTCACAGTTTGCTCACAATATCCTATAAAATTTTCAAGTCAACTTGGGAATTGTCAAATAAACAATAACTTTGAAGTCACTCGTGTTCATCTTTTTCTGTCTCATTAATTTTGGTCTCCCATAGAACCTTTCCTTTACAGTCTGCCCCTGCAGTGACCTCCCAGTGCTGTGTGTATGGTGGAAACAGACAGCTGCTGCTTCACAGTGTGTGGCCAGCTCTACACAGCAGCTATCACAGCAATTTCGTGCTAAAGCGTTTTCAGCTCCACTTCTAGATGGGGAACTGGGGACTGGCCTGGTGAGAGGTAACCAGGAACACAGGCCTTCTCCTGCACTGTGCTCACCCCTGGCAGCATGCTTGAACCGTGCCATGCAAATCCGTTTTTAAAAGGCAGTAAGTATAAAAATTTATCAATATGTAACACTTATCAGCCTGTTAAGAAGAGTCAGATGGCTTGTTTTCCATCCCTTGTACTGTTGTGTCTCTGACCTCCATAACCTTTTTCCTTTAAAAAAAAAAAAAAAGGGAAATTTGTCCTAATTACACAGTGGTTCATGTGTGCTTTCAAAGAAACTCAACTTTTATTATTGTGTGGGGGCATGTGGGTCTCGGTGCTTGTGTGAAGTCAGTTCTGCCTATGGATTCTGGAGAGCAGAGCAGGCGAAACACTTAACCTGCTGGACCGTCTTTCTGAACCGTGTGCCCTCTCTCCATTTGTAAAATAACACAGATAAAGCAGAAGTCACTAGAATGTTCCTTTCGTCTTTTGACATCATTGCTGTGATACATTGAATGTCATTCTTTCAGTCATATGCATGTATATTATATATATATAATATGTATAATATATATATAATATGTATAATATATATAATATATATATATATGTATCTGTTGAGACCTCTAGTTTATGCAGCAAAATGTATCATAAGGTATGGATTTTCTCCTGCATCAGTTTCCTTGTTTGAGGCTATTAGATGTGTCCTAAGTTGGTACATATAAATCTGTCTTATTATTTTTCTCATAGAGTTCTCTATTTCTGGAATCAGGTTATATGTTTTCATATTTTTTTCCTTATCCAGAGATTGCTTGTTAAATTTTAGGAGTATTCAGGGTTAGTTAGTACCTAGTTACCAAATATCCCCCAGTGCCTCTAAAACCCCATAATCATTAGAAAGCGTGAACTCTGGAAAGAACATTGCTGAAAGCTAAAAAATAAATGTTTGAGTTCCATTGATGAAACTCCAGAATTATAGCAGTGTCCAACAACATGTGTTGGACAGAGTACCCAGTGACTGGACGCACTGGACGTATTGCCTGCCTTAGAAGAAAGGCCTGCACTCTTCTTTACCTGGTGATTAGGTCTGGGGATCATGATCCAGTGCCACCATTGCCCTCCACCTTTACGTGGTCTCGAACTCAAACTCAGAGCTGCAGGCTTACAGAGAAAGCATTGTTCCCAGCTAACTACATTTTGCAAGATCCTAAGTTTTATACTGCCTTTTAAAAACTTTTGTAGGCCGTTGTTCAAACATGCTGCCGTGGGTGAACACAGCGCAGTAGAAGGCCAGTATTTTCCTTTGCTCTTCACCAGGCCAGTCACTGAATCATGGAGATACTATGGTACTAGTGGGGAAAACGTAAGGCAGGTTAAAGCCCCTGCTGCTTCATAGCCTTGGTTTATATTTATTTATAATCTTTAAACAGGAAGATGGGACAAGACGGAATAGTGCTGTGGTAGATCAGGACAATGTTTGCCTCTCAGGTCAGGAGCCTCTGGTAGGATCTAATGCCAGCTGCCTGGTAACCCATCATTTCATGGACACCTACGAGATGTGCCTCAGAAGACCAGTCCTCCATCAGAGCACACACACTGGTGAGAGAGCTGCACAGCCATCTGACATCAGCCCTGCGAAGCAAGGGATATACGTGGGGAAGAAGCTGGTGTCTTGGAGGAGGCAGCATTTGAACTGATGTCAAAGAGGAGTAATTGCTCCCTGAAAACCCAAGCGATGAGGGGGAAGTGAGAACACCTTCAGTTCTGAGACCCTGGCTGCACACATCAGTAGTCCAGCACGAAAGAAGATCTAGACTGCAGGCTTGTCTCACATCCCAAGTGGAGAATCAGTGAAACCCTGAATATCATGACCATAATTGCACTAAGGAGAAACTGTGCAGTTGTTGGACTACATAGTCAAGAAAGTCTCAGAACTTCTGCAAGGTCAGATTCACGAAGGTTTTAACTGTAGCAGTCTAGAAAGAACTGGACATAGCAAACAGCTGAACAAAACATGGGGATCGGTCACAAGGTAAGTGACAGGGAGACACTTCCGTGGTGTTGGTTATTTCTTACTCTCCTTAACACCCACCCCAGCCCAGAACCCACAAGAGCTGTTCAATTTGGAGGTTAGTTTTCTACATTGGAGTTTTCATGTCAGCTGAGATTTTTTTTTTTTTTTAAACTGACACCAGTGTGATGAAGGAGAGCAGAAGGGAAGGCTGCTGGGGTTGGGAGGTCGTTAGGAAGGAGCCTCGGCCATAGGCTTCCTCCCACCCCACAGGCTTCCTCAAGGATAAAGAGTAAAGCAGAGTGCGTTGGGGTACACAGTAACTCTCCATGAAGGGGAGATGGCAGTGCGGTATTCCAGCAGCAGCAGCAGGGGCGAAGAGGTCAGGACACGGCACACACTGTCACTAGAGAGTTCTGCACATGGCAGCATGGATGGGGCCCACCAGGAACCTTCACCCTAACACGGAACTTAAATAAATGTCAGAGAAGGTAAAGAAAGCCTAAATATTGAGCTGACAGAAGCCATGTTTTTCTCGGCTAGGCAGAATAAATGTTTAAAATAGATTTGTTGCTGCTGTTGTTGTTGTGAAGAAAGCCTGTTTTTTATGAAGGTCAGAGGAAAATTTATGTTCTGTCCTTCCATCTTCATGTAGATTCCAGGGATAAGGTCAGGGGGTTCACTTGTGCAGCCAACTGGAGTCCATGAGTACATGTTTATATGTTCTTCATATTTCCTGGCTGGAGCTTGAGAAAGTGTACCTGCTACCATGAGCCTGTAGGGAGGGACTGCTGGGCAGACGTCTCCAGGCCTTGGCCCACTCTAAAGGTGAGTTCTGGGCCACGTGTATTTGTGCTGCTTGCATCTCCAGAGCTCTTGCTGATCTAATGCCTGCACCGCGGAGTAGCGGGAGAAACTGACGCAGGGTTACCAGAAAGGGGTGGCTGACACAGCCATCACAGGGCCAGAGAGTGGAGAGAGGACACGAGCCCTTGAAAGCCCTGATAGTGAACCCTGTGCAAGGAGAAAGGAGTTAGAAGGGACGATCTGAAGGAACAACATGCCATCAGTTACCAATAGCACTCAGGCCCTGGTAGGATGCCATGACTCCTCCGACTCCATGCTGGTTCTGTGTGTGGCTTGACTTGTGTGGGTCTTGTGCATGAAATCAGTTACAGCCTCTTTGAGTTCATGAATACAGCGGTCTCCTTTTGTTCCTAGAACACTATTTCAAGACGGTCGTCTACTTCCTCTGGCTCTTACAATTTTTCTGCTCCCTTATCTGATAATCCCTGAACCTTAGATTAAAGGGACGCTTCTATTTCTGGTTTTGTTTGTTTTTGTTTGTTTGTTTGTTTGTTTTTAGTTTGTCTGAGACAGGGCCTCTCTTATGTAGCCTTGGCTGTCCTAGAATTTGCTATGTAGACCAGGCTTGGTGTGGGAAGTCCTTCTGTCTATGTGTTGCTTTGTTGGTTAATGAATAAAGAAACTGCTTTGAGTTTATAGCAGGACAGAACAGAGCTAGGCGGGGAAAATTAAACTGAATGCTGGGAGAAAGAAGGCAGAATCAAAGAGACACCATGTAGCCTCGCCAGAGACAGACACAGGACGGATACTTGCCGGTAAGCCACAGCCACATGGTGATACACTGATTAATAGAAATATGGGTTAAGATGTAAGAGCTAGCCAATAAGAAGCTAGAGCTAATAAGCCAAGCAGTGATTTAATTAATACAGTTTCTGTGTGGTTATTTCAAGTCTGGGCAGCCAGGAACAAACAAGTAGCCTTCTACAACATACGCTGGCCTCAAACTCAAAAAGACCAGCCTGCCTCTGCCTCCTGAGTGCTGAGACTAAAGGCGTGCGCCACCACCACCCAGCCTTGTTTCTATTTCTTTAATGAATAGTTACTTTTACTGTATTGGTCTGGTGGTATCTGGTATACACACACACACACACACACACACACACACACACACAGAGAGAGATGGGGATAAACATACTAGACTGGGCATAGCATCTGTCATCCTAATAATCAGAAGCTAAAGCAGGATAAATATGAGTTCCAGGCCTGGCTGGGCTCTATAGAGAAACCCTGTCCCTAAATAAATAATTAACTATATAAATAAAGCAGCAGTGAGCAGCATGAAAGCCACAGACGTGCTTTTGAGATTCAACTTGATCTTCAGGCTCACAACAAGTGGAGTGATGAAAGGCCTTTGTTTCTCCATGAGCCTGGCTTGTGTTAGGTGAACAGACGCAGGTGGCAGCAAGAGCAGATCACAGCTCTCAACAAGCTGTTACTCTTTTTATTGTTTGGTTCAAAGAATTTGTGAATTTCATTCCAGTTCTTTTTACTTCATTAGGAAAAATGAACCAAAAAAATTAACCAATATATTATTTTCACATCTCAAATTCCCAAGTCTCTTTTCTTAGATGGGTGTCTTAGGATTGCTATTGTGATGACACACAATAGCCAAAGGCAGCCTGGGGAGGAAGTGGTTTATTTTAGCTTACACAGCCAGAATCAGAGTCCACTGAGGGAAGCCAAGGCAGAACCTCAAACCAGATGAGAACCTAGACATAGGCACTGAAGCAGAGACCATGGAGGGGCGCTGCTAACTGGCTTGTTCCTGGCTTGCTCAGCCTTTCTCATAGAATCCAGGACCACTGGCTCCAGGAGTGTCTCCATCCACAATCCCTCCCGTCACTCCATCGATCTCTAAGAAAATGCCATACAGGCTTACCTATAGCCTGATCTTATGGAGATTGTTTTCAGTTGTGGTTTCTT